TTGAAATACATGAAGAAATCTGGCCTCATCAGACATGGAGTTGGAGTCTTCTTTGTTAAGGCACTAAAACTCCACAAGTGATAGTTTCTTAAAGGCATACCGCAAAGTGGAATCTAAAGCCGGGTGCTATTGTCTGAATGCTTTCCACAATTTATGTTGGAATTTGATTGTCAATAATATAGTATCAAGACACACCACCTTTAGAAAGGATGAGTGACCACATGAAAGGGGATGGAGGAAACTAGGTAAACTACGTGGGCCCTTTCTTGCTCTCAGCAGTAGTCATCTTTCCATCATTCTGACATAAACAATATGTAGAGACAAGATTTGTTGAGACTCAGAGTTTTGGAGATTTTAGTCTGTGGATAATTGTCGTCATGGTTTTGGGGCCTGTGGTGAGGCAGAACATAAGGGCCATGAGCATATGGCAGAGCAAAAGCATTATCTCATGGTCAGGAAGTGAAAGAAAGAGAGTGGAAGGGGCTGGTCCCATTCAAGGAGGGGATGCCCCCAGTGACCTAATGACTTTCCACTGGGCCCCAACTCCTGAAAGTCCCACCGCCTCCCAAGAGCACCCACACAGGCAAAATCACACACAGACACCAAACACATGGCCTTTGGGAGACATTTCAGATCCAAACCCCAGTGCCCTTCTGCCTTTCACACAGCATTGAAGGTACTGCCAGGGCAGCAGATAGCAGCCCTAGCTGGACACTGAATCTGCTAGGGACTTGATCTTGGACTTCCCAGTCTTAGAACTATGCCAAATTATCTCTATTATGCAGACATCACCCAATCTGTGATATTTTATTATAGTCGTGGGCATGAATGGAGATGCTGGCTCACATGGAGGATATGTTTTCTAGAGTATCCATTTTACCCTTGAACTCATATTTTCTCATTGGCAGCTAATATTGTCACTTGTTTTCCTTGAAGTAGCAGCCCCAATTAACTCAACTTCATATCCTCACTGCCTCTCTCTTGGGGAATCTGCCAGCCCAAGACTGAATAACCACAGTGTGGCTATAAGTCATTCTTTCAAGGGAAAATGGAGTTCTATAAGAAAAAAAAAATGTCTAGTTCATCTTCTAACTCAAACAATTGCTCCAACACTTTTCTTTAAGACTACCATTGTATTTTGGTAGATAACCAAAATGCTTTATTTATTTTGTCACACAAACCATTAAAAAGACAGGCATATAAGGGTTGATATGGAATCATTTTGATTATTTTTACTGCTTCATTAAGGACTTTCTTTTTGGGGGGAGGTGGGGCATCAGGGATTGAGCTCAGGGGCATTCCACTGCTGAGCCACATCCCCAGCCCTATTTTGTATTTTATTTAGAGAGAGGGTCTCATGAGTTGCTTAGCACCTTACTGTTGCAGAGGCTGGCTTTGAACTCATGATCCTCCTGTCTCAGCCTCCTGAGACACTGGGATTACAGGCATGCACCACCTCACCTAGCCATTAAGACATTCTTTAGTGAAAATGTTTTAACTGCGCACATGTGAGGAAGAATACAACCCTGAATCTAGAACACTTGGCACCTGTATGAGCTGCCTGGCCCCCATCTGAACAGCCCTGGCCCATCTCCAAGATTCCCTAGAATTCCAGATTTTGCTTACATGGATCACTTATAATCACCTACCCCCACAAATCAGACTCAGCCTAGACTAGACAAACCTCAGTTTTCCTCAGCCCCATCAACACTGATTGGATTTCTAGACCCTCAAAAGAGAGAAAAGGGAGTGGAATTCACATCTGGAGCTGGGGCTGTGTGGCAGGCACGGCACTGTCTAATTCAGCCCTCATCATCTCCATTTTGCCAATCATGAACCTGGGGATGGAGGAAGGAGGATTCCAGCACAGAGCCGTCTGCCATGAAGGTAAATTCCCTGTCAGCTCCTTCAGGTCCATTCCCACAGTCCCATTCCTGCCCTCTGTCTGGACTTCCTCCCCTTCGTGTCCGCCGGCTGGTGAGCTTCCAGAATGCCTCACAATCAAAATTTCCTGAAATGCGAAAATTCCCAGCACTGGCGGTTTTAATCATCCAGTGTCTGAATTCCTAATAATCACACATCACTCAGATGTTGGAAACTATGAGACACATCAGTCCCCGGGATAGATAACTGATAAAGTCTGAATCGGGTTCGCTTCTGCCATCGTCTGTGGTGTTGGAACTCAGGACACCCAACTTTCCCTCTGGGAGTACTTCCACCCAAGCTGCAGGTCTCTCCTCTCTGTGTGTCCCACACACGGGAGTCAACATCCTCCAGCCCCTGCCTCTTCCCTGGAAAAGCCAGAACCCATTCAAACAAGTCACAAAACAACTCCCCAGGATGTGACCAGGATAAGAATCACATCCTAAGACTCAGTTTCAGGAAAGTTCAACCCAAAATAAACCCAAAGCTGAAGTAAATAAAGCATTAGGATTATTTTTGGGAGAGCAATTTCACAGAACTACAAGAGAGGAAAAAAAGATACTGTTGTCAACAGCCTTTGTTCAGATATTCTGTGTTTCTGGCCCATCTTGTTAAGTGGTGGTTTGGTATCTGATATTTATGCAAGGGGAATGACCCATGTTTACCAAAATTATACCATTTCTTCGGAGGGTAAGAGTGTCCTGTAAGCACTGGTTTGAGATAGGGCAGAGAGCCTGATGAGGACCCATGGTTGTGATGATTAAAGCCAGGCTAGAAAGAACATGTAATTTGTGCCAAAGAGCCCAGAGAACAATGGCTAAGCGAGAACTCCATTGAACACACACACAGGGACATTGCCTTGCAGCCTTGGGTCCATACGGAGAAGGGTCACACACTGAAACCTTTAAAGGACAAGAGAAGGAACAAGATTTGGTATAAAGAAGGGCAAAGTAGGGGCTGGATGTGAGGTTCAGTGGTAGAGCCTGTGGTCAGCTTGTGCAGGACCCTGAGTTCAATCCCTGGCACCATAAACAAATCAATAAACAAATAAACAAGCAAACACATGAATAAGAAGGACAGAGTGGGATAATAGACACTGGCTAAGCCTTAGCCCCACTTGTATATTCTGCCAAATGGAACAGATTCTATCATTGTGACCACCGTGATCTTGCGCTCATTCACTCTTTACCCAGTACTTAATGAGCATGTCATCCCCAGCTAAGCACCAGGAATACCACAAGGATGAGACATAGATGGTGCCCTCAAGGAGCATCCAGGTCAGTGGGGGAAATGAACTCTTGTAGAGGTAATGAAAAGAAGGTAATGAGCCACATACATCCTGATGGGGAAGGTGGTACCTAGTGACAATGTCAATTGAACCTGTTAAAAAATCCCAGAAAGGATGATGGCCAACATTTTGACAGGTGGAGGTGGATGCTAATGGTAATCCCAAAGATACCAATCAACTTTTGCATTTATCACCCCCACTTAAATTCTTCAGCAATAGTAAACGCTTTATGATCCTTAATTCAAATTGGATGAGCAATAACTTGGTGTATTTAACTTGGGAAAGCAGCATGATCTAATGGAGAAAAAGAGCACCTCGCTAGTTTGGAGTTTTCAGGGAGACAGGCCTGATTTGAACCCTGCTGCTGCTGCTGCTGCTGCTGCTGCTGCTGCTGCTGCTGCTTACTAGCCATGAACAACTTAGCTACGGTCTGGGAATCCATACCTACCACGCAAGAATGTTACTAGAGAGAAAATGAAGCAATCGGAGCACCTGGTACTTAACATTGCCTTCTTCCTCTGAGATCAGGTAGTACATCCTGAGAATCCTTCATTTCCATGGATGAGCATTCCTCAGTGACCCTACAGCCTCCACTCAGGGTGCTGTTTTCTCTCCCCTACAGCACAGAAGAGCCTTGGGGCTCCTGTCCCCATTCCCTGACTTGTTCTCATTCAGTCCAGTTCTCAAACAACAACCAAAAGTGCTTTGGAATGTAGGCACTCCCATGCCTTTCCCCAGCCCCAAACCTTCCATGGCTCCCTGTGGTTCTAGAAAAGTGGAGATTTTGAAGTGGCCTTTAGGGTCTTCACTTTCCAGGTCCTGCTCACCTCTCAGCCTCATCCCTCCAACACCTGTCACTCTCCACTTCAGACTGGCCTGCAGGATCTTGCATGTACTTCCTTCCGTGTGCAATACCTGATAACTGTCATCCTGTCCTTCTCTACAAACTGATGCCTCTTCCTCCAGGAAGCAGGCCATGGTTTCTTTCCTCCCTGCCCCTGTACAAAACTGCGTTCACAGGTCCTATCTCTGTGCTCTTAGTAACTCCTACTTCCATCTCTCCTCGGTATATCACATTCTTTTGCAATCTCCTTCTTGACATCCATCAGTAGATAGAAAAACTTTTTAGATTTTATATTTTTTATCCCAGGTCTAGCTAACGAATGGTAGATAGAGACAAGCTTAAAACCCAGGTCAGTCTTGCCCCCAAACTCATGGATTCCTATAATCCCTATTGAAATCTAACATAACCCCACCCCCCAGGTCAATCTCCTCCCCCAGCACCTCACACACAGGTGTTCCATGCCCCTCTATTTACATGGACTCACTTTCTGTCAGAAACTCATTGCTCCCTTGCAGGCTTGAAGGTACTCTTTGGAATGTACACAAGTATTATTCTTCCCGAAAACACTGAAGTCACTGATTTGGGTGAAATCATTTTGGAGTGGGTAATAAGCAGGGGACTTCCGTGAGCTCAGTCCTCTGACAGGGAGGAGGGGCAAGAATCATACTGCAACTCAGTTTAGGAGAAAATTCTTGGAAACTTGAGCAAGTGAGTTTGTTTCTTACTCATTAAACTGCGTTGAGTCAACCTTTGTGCTTTCATCAATATTTGTGGACTGAAAACATGACAAACTGTCCCCTGTGCTGCTCTACATGTGAACATTGATTGATGGGACCAGGAACAAAATTCCCTGGGAACAAAAAAAAAAAAAAAAAAAAAAAAGAACTGGCATGACTGCCTAAGCAGTGTTTGTTTTCCATTTTGGAAGCTTCTGCTTCCAAATGAAGTACACTCCATCAGCCGGTCACAGGTCTGCCACCCTAGAGCCATGTGGATCCAGAACATGAAGAGGCTTTAACGTCATAACGTTCTCTTGCATCTACCTGCCCTTTGCCGGGTACTCATGTCCTTCCCTGGGGTGGCTCCTGAAGGTTCTCCTCTCTTCCTATTGCACTCTCCTCCAATCTATTCTCCAGCAAAGTGCTCTTGAAATATGGTGAAGCAATCTTTCATGTGTAGTGGGCATTATGGCTACTTGTCCACACCAGTCCTCCCACCCAGGATCTGAAGGTTTGGGTAGGAACCCTGAGATGAGCCAAATCAGCCAATCCCATAATGCAGTGGCCCTCCCGCAGAACTCAGTATAGGGTTTTGCATACCCTTGGTCACAGAGGTTGGGTGGGCATGAGGGGAGACCATCGACTGGGTGCTCAGGCTTGAATTTTGAGGTTGTGGGGGTAATGTTGTGGTTCTGTCTCATCCCCAGAGCATGAATGAGGAAGCACAGCCTCAGTTCTGCCTAAAGCCATTCTTGACCTTGAGGCAAACCACTGCAAGGAAGATGATGCCCAGGGAATCACCAGGCTCTGGCGGGAACCCTGACTGCACCACATCTGAAGCCTCCTCACCTTTCAAGCTCTCAGTTTTAAGCAACCAATAAACCCTCTTTACTGCTGAAGCCAGCGTGGGTTAGGTTTGCTATAACTTGCTACAGAAGGTCTCCTGGGTGATTCAAAAGCCTCCTGGTGCACTTGGAATTGCATCCAGATGCCCTACCTTGGCATTAAAGGCCCACTAAATTCTAAGATCAGTGAGTGGTGGGCCAAGAGCTAGATTTTCATTGGCCCCGGTATTACCAGCCCTTGCTAGCATGAAGCAGGCACTCTGTTAATTTTTTTCTTTTCTTTTTTCTTTTTTTTTTTTTTTGAATGAGTGAACCCAGGTCTCTCTCCAGTACATTATCTGGAAACAGAAGACTCCCCTGACCCCCCAGTCCTGCTGCATCTTCTGCTGGAGCCACCTCTGCACACAGGTTGTATTTTTCAAACTATCAGTTTTCTTGTGCAGCTCCTCCTGTGTGTCCTGAGCAGGTCACCCAACCATGCCCAGCAGTGTGTCTGACTCCAGTTTTCCAACAGGCAGCAGGGGTCAGTGAGGACCAAGGTGCAGGACTGTGCAAACATGCCCAGGAAGTGGAGCTGGAATGGTCTGGAAGTCTCACAAGTAGATCAGCAGGGCCTCTGAGCCATCATGGTTTGGGCCAAGATGCATGTGACCGTGGGTGCTCTCTCTGTGCGGGAGGAAGATCCAGCTTCAGGTCAGGACATTCCATTCCTTGCTCATTAACCCATATTCCCTTTCCTGCCTTAGGCCCTTGGCGCTGCCCTTTCCTCAACTGCTCACCCAGTGACTCTACCCTGTGTCCAAACTTTGCCTTAATTCTCTGCGGTGCTTATTAAGGATTTTGTTTGCTTTTCTCTGTTCCCCCCTTAAAACATAAACTCCATGACAGTAGGGACAAAGCTGTCTCCTTTATCATATCAAGAATCCCCTGAAAAACCTTAAACAAGTGAACAGTTCCCCCTCACGCTCCATAAGCAGCTGAGGCAGCGTCCTCAGGTAGAGACCCCTGCCTGTGACCTCCTGGGCAGTGCTCCCACTCCCATCTAGAGTAATCCTCCCCTGACAACAACGTTCTGCTCAGCATATGGTTATTTCCTTCACTGTCTTTACCCTAATACAAAATGACCTCGTGGATTTGTGTTTACCTGTTTGATATCTGAATGTAAACTGTGGCATTCTTTGCTGAATCCCCAGGGAGACGGCTTCCTGACTTCAAGTAGATGCTCAATAAACTTTTGTGGATGGAATAAAGGAACAGGGAGGGGAGGGAAGAGGCTCTGAGGCTCCGCAACCAGTGGGTGTGAGAAGATAAAAGGGAAAAGCGGACCAAAGTTGACTTAGAGTATCTCTGCGAGGTAAACAGGGCCGCTGAGAGACCGAGAAAGCAAAGTTGACAATGTTGTAACCTCTTCCAAATAAGCTCCCTGCTGAAGTCCATGGTGGACACCGGATCTCTCTGATTCCTTTGCAGTTCCTTTTCTATTGATCCTGCTGAATACTCATCTACATTTTCTTCAAGTATTGACCATCTCCCCATATCCAAACCATCCAAATTCCTGCAGGGTAATGACTGGCTACTTGAGAAACAGTCACTGTGTCTCCAATTTCGCTGGTCTCCACTGTGATCCATCCATGCTGCTTCTACGAGGCCACAGCGGCCAATGCCAGGCTGACATTTTAAAAGTTTCATGGAGCCTTTGTGCTACAGTAAGGCCTCTGGCTTCTCTTTCTCTCAATTATTACCTTAACCATGCCCCGGAGACCTAAGGAGCCAGTTTATTTTGACTGGGAGATTGTTAAACTGCAGGAGGCAAGCCAGAGACACAGCCAGGCTGTGATTTCCATTGCTCACACAGGCCTCAGCCAGAGGTGCTGAGAATAGCCAAGGCCACTTCCTGCTGGAGGAGGAAATGGCAGTTTCCTCCACTCCCTCCCGGAAACATTGCTTCCTCTCTGGTGCCTAGATCCGTGTTCACCCATTAGACAGCCTCTCCCCACCCCAAAGCCCCAGAGACCAGCTCCAGTGTGTGGAAGACATCCTGTTTCCCCTGAGGAAATGGGCCAGATTGGAGAGTCTCCCGGGTATGAGTTGGGGCGTGAGTGATCAGAGGAGCAGGAAGGAGCAGCCGAGGACTCACACTAATAGATAGACATCCAGCATCCACCAGGATTGCACCCCACCCTCCACCCTGTCCTGATCCTTAGCCATCCAAGTGAACTTGACCCACGCCCACCCAACTTTGCTGTTCAAAGTCCTCCCGAGATCTCTCCCTTTTTTTCTTAATTGACACATACTCATTATACATATTTATGGGGAACAGTGGGATATTTTGATAGCTGTGTACAATGTGTAATGAACGAATTAGGTCGTGGCACTGTACTGCAGAATGCCAGGGCTTATTCCTCTGCTCTAACTGCATTTGGGTGCCCCGTGATCGCTTCTGAGTCTCTGAAGCTTTCTCTGTCTCCTCCATCCACTATCTTTCTTTTGTACCACATCATTCCAGAACAACAACAACAACAAAAAACTCTGTTCCTTTGTTTCTACAGAAATATTTATTAAATATTTTAAATGTTCACACACACATTCCAGAAGTTAGAAAACTTTCTGGGCATTGAGTGGTTCCAGGGTGCCATCATGTTGCCTGGCAAGTAACCTCCCAGAGAAAGCTCTGGAACCAGGCATCCTGAGTTCAAATCCTGCTCCCTACCTCTCTCTCCCTGTTAGGTGGAGCTCGCTGGGTGGGTCCTGTAAGTTCTCTGGGCCGCAGTTTTCTCTCTGTAAGAAGAGTGCTGACTACCCCTTCAGCACACTGATAGATTTAATGAGATGAAGCACTTAGAACAGATCAAGTTCTCTTTATCTGTTCAGGACTCAATAAACACTCATTGTTCTTTTGCTGTTTTCTCTTCCCTTTTAACAGGGGAGAGAAATGGAAACAAAAAACATAACCTTGGGCTGGGGATGTGGCTCAAGCGGTAGCACGCTCGCCTGGCATGCGTGCGGCCCGGGTTCGATCCTCAGCACCACATACAAACAAAGATGTTGTGTCCGCCAAGAACTAAAAAATAAATATTAAAAAAAAATTCTCTCTCTCTCTCTCTCTCTTTAAAAAAAAAAAAAAAAAAAAAAACATAACCTTTCCCTGTCTCTAAACAAATAATGGCACCTGAGGCTGCATCAGTGGGCATCCCCACCCTGGCTTCAGTTTCTGAGGGTGTTTGTCCAGTGCTCTCCTGGTATTGGCTTGAATAAAAACCTCTCAATCTTGTTTTCACTTATTAACATCTAATATCAACTACTTGCCAAATGATTTTTAGGATACCTTATTTTTTAAAATAAACTCTACATTTTAAAATATTTTTAGACTCACAGCAGGTAGTACAATTCCCTGACACTGCACACCAGTGTTCCCCAGTGCCAACAGCACATAAGAACACTGTGCATGTGTGACCATTAAGGACCAATACTGATCTGCTGTTAAGAGCGGAAGTTCCATGCTTTCTCCAGACGTCCTTAATTCTCTCTTCATGTTCTCCTTCTGTTCCATGATCCCATCCAGGATACCACATTCAGGCTCTTTCTAGCCTGTGACTGTTTCTCAAAGTGTCCTTGTTTTTTGATGACCTTGGCAGTCTTACAGAGTACTGGTTGGGTATTTTGAAGGATGTGTCTAAATCAGGCATGGTCAGATATTTGTCACTTAATTAGGTGGATGGGGTTTAGGGCTTAGGGATTGGGGGACGAATACCAGAGAAGTACCACTGGGTCACATTTTATCAAGAGTCATTCCATCAGTGTGACTTTCTAGTGTTCACGTTGACCTTGATCGTCTGGCTGAGGAAGTGGGTGTCCAATTTCTCCACTGTAAGGTTAGTCTCTTTCTCTGCCTTCACACTGTATCCTTTGGAAGGAGGTTACCGAGCACTGCCCACACTTCAGGAGCAGGGAGATGGGCTCCATGCCCTGGAGGGCAGAATAGCTGAAGAAGTTATTTGGAATCCTGTAGTATGGAAATTTGTCTATTCTTCCCAGTGGGTTTATTTCTCCAATTATTTACTTGTATCAGTTTGAACTCACAGCTATGTGTTTCATGTGTTGTGTTATAATCTAATACGACCTTAGTTGTTTTGCTGTTTAGATTGTCCCAGCTTTGGCCATTGGGGACTCTTTCTGCATCCTTCTGACATCATTCCATCATGGTTTTTCTTTTGTTCTCTTTTTGAACAATTCCTTACTTTCTGGTACAATGAGAATCTGGTACAAAGCTGAATCTTTAAATTTCCTAATCCTGTCATAGGTTCAGCCATTTCTCCAATGATTATTGGTTCCTTTCTTGCGAAATGGTATTAGAAACCAAGTTCTGATCATGGGGTATGCTTGCTGCTGATAGGCATGTCATTCTCAGCTGACAGAGCAAGAAAATACATGTGTGTGTACTAACATGTGTATACCCATGTATCTATAATACTAACATATCACCGAATCTCACCTGCATCTACATTAAGCTAAAATATGGTTCATACTGATACATACAATGCTAATACTTTATCACGTGGCTCATTCGAACTTTCCCCTCTTGCTTACCTATTCAGTCCTATTCTTCCCCCCCCCCCCAAGGTACTGGGGATTGAACTCAGGGGCACTAGACCACTAAGCCACATCCCCAGCCCTATTTTGTACTTTATTTAGAGACAGAGTCTCACTGAGTTGCTTAGCACCTCGCTGTTGGTGAGGCTGGCTTTGAACTTGAAATCTCAGCCTTTTGAGCTGTTGAGATTACAGGTGTGTACCCCTGCACCCAGCTTTCAGTCTTCTTCTAATAGTAAGAAGTCTTCTTCTACCTCTTGCCAGACATTTATTTAATTGTTCAATTTTAGTACAATGCTAAATATTGTACTAAATACTATATATTACTATATATTAACCCATATTCCCACAAGAAGCAGTCTCCCTGACAGTATAGTACTTATACAGAGTGTCTTTGGCCCTTAATTTTATAGACTCCATTCATTTCCAAAGTTACTTAGTCAGTCCTCCACACACTTCCTTTCTAATATCTCTAGGTTGTCTTGTCACATTATGCATCCCATCCTGGAATCCCTTGACCTTCTGAATGAATTGTTTTAAGTTTGAATACCCTTAAGTTCATTTTGTGCCGCCAAGTTCCACATATATCTATCAAGTATCTGTGGAGACAGTTTAATACAACATAGATTCAGTATTCTAAAAATCCCCTGTGTTTCACCTATTCAATTCCGCCCAGATCCCCAGCAATTACTAATCTGTTTGCTATCTCTGTAGTTTCCCCTTTTTCTAAAATGGCAGAGAGCTGGAATCCTACCACATGGTGCATTCATGCTGCCTGCTGGTACTTCGCAATATGCATTGCAGATTCATCCACACCTCTTCATGACTTGAAAGCTCCTTTTTTATAAAACCATAAAACTGTATTCCACTGAGCTTACATATGACAATCTGTCTATGCATTCACTTGTTGAAAGACACCTTGTGAGATTTTTCCCCCCTCTGTTTATGGCCATGATAAAAATAAAGCTGCTGTAGATGTTGATGTGCAGGTTTCTGTTTGGACATTGGTGTTCAGTTCCATTGTTGTAATACCTAGGACCATGACTGCTAGATCTTACGGTAAGCATATATTTAGTTATGTAAAAAGCTGCCACACTGTCTCC